ATATATATATCCATGAATTGATGTTTTAAATTAAAGTTAAAAGAAACTAAACCAAACTTAGAACTATACACTCTAAATAATAAAGAAATAAAAGTTTTCTGTGATGCTTCTTCTGGATTTTATATGCTGACATATTGAGTAAAGCAGAAGCGAGGATTGTTTATAGACCGAAGTGGCTTCTTATACGTGGATCGATCATATTTTGATTTCAATGGCAGAGCTGCTCTACACCTGTTCTCTTACTGGGCTGATTGATCACCTGATTTAGCTTATTTCAATGTTTAAAGAAAATAGATGTAACACACATAGATGTAACAAGAAAGAAGGAAACACTCAGTAAATCACTTTATTCTGCAATCATTAAAAAATGTTTTGTTTTTTTTGTTTACTGAAGGTGGATTACCGTAAAAATTTAATGGACTTAAAAAAAGAAAAGGCTGGTCTAATGATTTTTTCCCCAGGTTGGTTTATTGTTGCTTTTATCTACTTTGAAAAATTTAAATAACAAAAAGTACAATAATCAATATCCTATGTTTTAAGAGCAAATAAGTAAATGCTGTCTTATGCCCTGTTTGTGGCAGTAAAGGATATTATTTAGAGTAATCAGACAGAAAATATGCAGAGAGAAAAAGAGGGTAGACATGCAGCTAAGGTCTGGACGTCTGGGACGACTGCAGCCATCAGCCTCAATTAGGATATAGAAAATTACAGCCTGTAGCTCCTATTCCTAAATGAATACTTCACCTTTCATGGGGTCAAGAGTAAGAACTCTCTTGACCCCATGAATACAGACTGCTGTAGTGATTCCAGACAGCCTTAAGTTTACAACACTTGCTCCAAAGCTAGACTAAAACCTAAATATTTAAAGTAAAGCAAACTCAATTCTTATTGACTTATTTATGATTATCTTGACTAAGTCATGTGAACTACTGGACAAATTATTCTTGATTATTTTATATATTCAAGCCGAGTCCCGACATAAAAGTTTAGTATTTGAAAATGGTGATTTGGAGCCTATTGGCAATACGAGTGGCAGCAGCAGAAATCAGGAGTGATAACATTGCTGTACTAGTACACATGTGGATATGTACTAGTGTTGCACCTATACTGATACCAGTATCGGGCCCCGATCCAGCACTAAAATGGTGGTATCGGTATTAGCGAGTACCAACAAATAGGGCATCGATACCATTTAGAGAGCCAAAAGTTTAATCAACCATGGTCACCCATTCCAGGTAGGCAATAAAAAGTTCTACTGGATTCACTTTGTTTTAGTCTTTTTCCTGGTTCACAAAGGTAGGCAGCAGCTTGACAAAGCCATGATGGTAATTATTTTACATCCAAGCAGTATGCAGTTCTTCATATATTCACACATCAATTTCAAACAGAAGGTATCGGTATCGGCCGATACTGCACAGCCAGGTATCGGTATCCGGTATCAGGTCCAAAAAAATGGCATTGCTGCATCTCTAGAATGTACTATGGTTAGCTATAATTAAATGTAATGAAAAACAAGTTTTCATTTGGGAGCTAAATGAGCAGATTTGTGGATTTAGTTAACCAGCAACATATTTTATTAAATCAAAAGCATAACTTTAATTTTATGAAAAATTCGGAAAAGAATTTATACAGAAAATCTTCTATACTTCATTATAAAAACCAAAACGTGTCACAGGTTCCACCAGAAGAAATAAAGCACTGTATGTCCTTTTACACAAAGGATTGTGGGAATTGATATCAGTCCTAAATACCAGATGGAATGTCGAATGTGTTGAATCCACAATCGAAGGGAAGCATCCGACGTCTTTTCCCTACTTTGTTTCTTACTGGCAGTCCAATTCATACAGCTCTTATCATGGCGATCACTGACAAAATTCTGTTTTGGCTAAGAGTCCTTAACGATTTGCCCTTTTTTCGAACTAACCCTCGGTATTTAAACTGCCCTAAACCCTAATCGGCCTCCTTAAACCAGTAATCTGGCAGGAGTTATAGGATCCTACCAGCCAAAAGTGTTTTAAAACTGTTTTCATCCCACTGCATTCAGACTGCTGAACAGTAAACCCCACTAGTCAATATGCAGTAACACACACACACAGTTCTGCATTGATTTCACTTTACCCTCCCAATGCGCTTTCTTATTGAAAACTTCTTTATACCTTTTACTGAAGTA